CTACACCAGTCACATCCCTGGTACAGTTTCCCAGTACTAACTCAGGTTTAGAGTCTTTCAGTACTTACAGGTCAAAGACATATGGGAAGAATGGATAAAGACCTGCAGAACAGGAGGGAAACAAAGAAATAGGGTGTCCTGGGAGTGACTATTGAAATGATTAGAGCTGAGGTAACATGAGGACTAAAAATGGACCACTAACTTCAAAAGGGAGCAGTGTTTGTAGCTTTGTTGATGACGTGTTTAGAATATAGGGGAAGATTTACCAAGTTCATATGGGAGTAACAACTGTGTTTTTTTTTTTTTTTTGTAGCCAATGTTGAGCTTTGTTTTGTTTTTACTGTTTTTTTTTTTAAACATGAATAGGCTGGGCTGGGGAGATGGTCAGTGAGTAAATAATCCAATGCCCATCCTGATGACCTGACTTCAATTCCTGGGAACCCACACAGTGAAAGGAGAGGAGCAACTTCTGCATATGCAGAAATAATAAAAATCAAGAACAATGAAATGTGGAAACAGAATTAAGTATGACTGTTATGGGAGAGTGAGACACTTAGGAACAGATAGGACACACCCAAGACAGGGTTTAGGAGTTTCAAGAGGGTTCTGCTTAAGTGTTTTAGTAATAGCTAGATTTGTGATTTTGGTGGCTTCTGAAGTTACAATGTTCAAAGGGCTTTTTAAAAAATTCATTGTTCACACAGATCAAATTTTATTATGTAACTTACTATAATGTATATGTTGCCTCTGTGTATCCGCTGCCAGAATTGTATTGATATTCTACTCTGTATTGATAGCTTGGATTCTCAGACTATTCCATAGATGCTTTTGCATTAAGTAGTAAAGACATAAAATCTAGGGCATCTCTGTAATAGGTGCTCAGAAATCTAAAAATATGGATCCATGGATCCATTCACCCAGAAATGTTTTTCTTGGCAGTACTCAGATTAAATAATTAAATCAATTAAATCAATAGTCTCATGCATGCAAAGCAAGTAGTCTACCATTATGCTCCAACCCCAACCTAACCCTAAAATTTTGTTTGTGAATCTACTTAAAGAAAAAGTATCATTTAAAAAACAGATTCTGTTTTAGAATTTTAGTCATAGGATTTATCTGCACAATAAATTAAATAATTCATGTATCTAATAATGAAATTGACTAAATAAATTATGACACATCAAAAATTCATTGTTCATACTTACTGTATACGGTACTATGTCACACAAGAACGTTCTCATATAAGTATATGTTGTATGCTGAGTACAGTTCCTTCCCCATATCTATCTCCCTCCCCTGCCCATTCCCATTCAGCCTTTTTGTTTCCATGATAATTTCACTCATGCTTTCATGTCCTATACATATGAGTTTATAAAACCTAGAAGGCTCATATAGGAGAAATCACATGATCTTTATTTCTGAGACTTGCTTAATTAGCTGAATATGGTGATTTCCAGTTATGTCCATTTTTCTAAAAACAATAAAATTCAATCTTTGTGGCTGAAAAAATTCCATTGTGCACATGTGCTTTATTTTTCTTTACCCAGCACTCTGTTTTATGTTGCTTCTGTAATTTAGCTGTTGTACATAAACAATAACATGCAAGTTATGATGTATTGACTTGGACTCCGTTGGGTAAATACTTATAAATGGTATATAGCTAGATCATGGGGTATATCTATCCTCCTTCCCACGTAAATAGTAGCAGATAAGGGCTTCCTTTTGCAGAGCAAAGCAGAGCAGTGAAGAATTCTGGAACATTCTAAGCTGATTATAAGAATTTGGTAAAAAAAAAACACTCTTTGTTTTCACTACAGTGCTGTACAACAATATCCCAAGCCCTCGGGCCTTACACATCTAAATCCTTTCCAGATCTCTTAAGAGAAATTAAATAAAAATAAGTCATGCATAAGAAAGTAAGGGAGTAACACCTCTCACGAATGTCCTACATAACCACCCTGGTTACAATTGCTATTGTTAAGCACCAAGCTTGTCTTCTTTCTCTATTTCAAAGAATTTCATTACAGACTTTCAGCATCTTTATTTCCTTTCACTTTTATTATACTCTGTTTTTTTTCCCGTTCTTTTATTAGGCTTATGGAGACTTTTGGAGGAGGATGAAACAGAAGCATTTTTAACCACGAGTTTTCTCCTCATCTCATAAAATAGAAACTCAGACTCCAGTCTACTTTTTATTAATATATTCATGTACACAGTGATAGATTTCATAAAAAGAGTATAGTATATGCTTTGACTGTGTCTGTCTCCCTAACTCTCTTCTCTCTACCTTTCTTACTGATTTCTTTTTCCCAAATAGTTCCCCATTATGCATGGAATGCATGGAGGCTTATTTCATTCATAAAGATAATCACATATGTGAAAATGTATGAATGTGACTTATTCCATTTACTAAGACCTATAGGTCAATCCATTTACCAGAAAATTAATTTCACTTTTCTTTAGAATGTAATAAGACACTGTTATGTGTATTTACCACACTTTCTTTAATTATCTATTTGTTGATGGGCAACAAGGTTGACTCCATTACTCAGCTACTGGGCATAGTTCTGCAATAAGCATGGATGTGTATTTCTTTCTGTAACATGCTGACTTAGATTACTATAGGTAGGTATTCTTCCAGGAGTGGTATAGTTAGCTCATATGGTAGTTCTACTTTTATTTGTTTGGGGAACATCCAGAATGATTTATATAATGACTAGACTAATTTCATTCCCACCACCTGTGTATAACTATTTTGTCTACATTCTTACCAACATTTTTTATTGTCTTTTGAGGACAGCTGTTTTGATGGGGTTGGGATGGAATTCCCAATGTACTTTTGGCTTGCATTTCACTGATGGCTAAAGATGGTGAACAATCTGACTAGATATCCGAACTTCATTTTTTGAAAACTGTTTATTTCATTTGTCCAACTACTTATTAGATTGCTAGATATTTGGAATTTACTTTTAAAGTTACTAATACAGTCTACATATTATTCCTCTGTCAAAGGTAGAGCTGGTAAAGGTTTTATCCCATGCTGTAGGCTATCTTTTCACCTGATGAATTGTCTTTGGTCCACTTTTTTTTTTACCCATTTATTGCATGTGATGAAAGACAGGGACTAAGCTAGATGTGACCCCTAATCTTGGTTGTCAACTTGACTATATCTGCATTTCACAAACCCAAGCAGCTAGACAAAGTTCTGAAGGGTTTTCTTGACTTTATCGTTTGAGGTGAGAAGATCCACCCTATATCTGGGCTACACATTCTGTTAACAGCCATATAAAATCACACAGAACATGCAAACTTTTTTTTTTGCCTGCTTATGTTCACTTGTGGCTAACAAGGTCATCTATTCTTTTCCCAAGGCATTCCTTCACTGGTGGTAGAATTTACTTCATTTGGAGTCCAAAATAGACTCAATACTAGCAGCTCTCTAGGGCTTCCATGGAATGTGAGCACCAGCTTGGGACTAGCGCGATATTCAGTCTTATGAGCTGAAAATTAAGCGATCCCTAGCCTTTCCAAAGGGACATATCCATTTTTGGACTCCTCAGACCACAGCCTGTCAGCCACTTTCATATAAAATGCAGTGTGATAATATAATAAACATAATATAATATAAAATGTTGTGGTTTGAATCGGAATGGCCCCAGTGGCTCATATGTTTGCAGTTTTGGTTCCCAGTTGGTAGAACTGTTTGGTAAGGATTAAGAAATGTGGGTTTGTGTGTGTATGTGGGGGTGTTAATGTTCCAGTGCCACCCCTTCCTGCACCATGATGGGTTTTACCTCTCAGAAACTGTAAGCCTCAAGTAAGCCCTTTCCTTTATCAGCTGCCTTGGTCACAGGGTCTTAACGCAGCAAAGACAAGTAACTAAGACACTAGCCATACGATCACCAGGTAAACAATTGGTATTCTACATAAATGTGAGTTTTAACGTGTGAAATAGGACCCAGTCTATGATAGTTTACTTTTAGTGACGTGTCGATAATTTTCTCATTTTCACATCATGTTAATGTTCTGAATTCAAGCTTATTCTTCATTTGGAATTTTTAAATTTTGGTGGCAATTATTTGGTGGTATTATTTAAAAATGGTCATACACGGCATTTTACTATGTCGGGGCAGTATCACTATCTGCGAAATCTACTTTTAAAAAAATGGAACTAAGGGGCTGCAAGATGGCTTAGCCCGTAAAAACTCTTGCCATACACACCTGAGGACCTCATTCAGTTCCCGGAAACCACACAAAAGGCTGTGTGCAGAGAAGTGCACTTGCTATCCAAGCGCTGCTATGGAGGTAAAGACAAGAAGAAAACTGGCTAGATCCTTGAGCAGGGGAGGAAGGAAGACAGAGCCTGGCTCAACAAACTGGAAGGGGGGGGCCAACTCCAGAAAGCTGTGCCCTGATCTCTGTGTGGGCGCTGTGGTGAGCTGGTGACAGCCCACATGCTTTACACAAATTTGAACACAGCAAATTATTAATTATAAAAATTTTTAAAATCAATAAAAATAACTCAGTTGTTCCCCAGTTTCACCAACATGACTGCCTAAAAATGAAGCAAACTAAGACACCAACGACAGGTAAGCCAAAGTTGATGAGGAGAAGACCAGAAGATCTCAACCCTACACAAAGAACTACAGGCAAATAGGATACTGAAAGAGGATTATTCTTCCCCAGGTAAAATACATAATTGATTATTCAATATCAATGTTCATCCATCCCTGACAACAAACATACAGGTAACATTCTACAGATGGAGCTAGTTACATTTAAAAATATATATGTATGTAACAACATATATGCATGCAGTATACATATATGCATGTTACAACAATTAATTTAAAAAAGCCATGAACTTGAAAGAGAGCAAGGAGAGGCAGATGAAATGTTTGGGAAGGAGGAAAGGGAAGGGAAAATGATGAGATTATGCTATAATCTCAAAATAAAATAAAACTGTTTTTAAATGACGTAAGAATCATCTCATATCTTACCTTAGCCGTTGGTTGTAAGAAGCAGAAGCAGACCCGAACTGGTCCAGCAGAAGAGAAAATCTTAAGGGAAGGTTACATATGAATCTGGAACAAGAAAATAGAGTACTATCGAGACTCAACATAGTCACTTCCTCTTTGTGGTTTCTCTGTTCAACTCTGTTCCTGGATCATTACTGTGTCTGTGAGGAGCAGATCTTTCTCTGTGTCATTTCCAGAAGACCACTCCCAGACGGCTTTGAACTGATCTCCCAAGATCTCCCTCAAGTTGTAGAATTTCTGAGTCTTCAGTTAATGGTTGGAAAAGAGGCTCCGAGTGGCCCATTTTTTAGAGGAGTGTCTGTTTCTGATCTAATCAAGTGTGTGTGTGTGTGTGTGTGTGTGTGCCTGTGTGTTTAAATATGTGTGTGTGCCAGTGTGTTTAAATATGTGTGTACATATGCATGTGTGTGTACGTATGAGTGTGTGTCCAGGTATGTATGTGTGTGTGTTCTTGTATGTGACATCATAAGTGTGTCTGTGTGTCTGTGTGTATATGCGGGTTGGTGGGGGCAAGGAGGATGCCTGATCTCATCTGATGCTCTTGTAGTAGAGAGTGTGAGAAAGAAAGAGTTCATGGGAAAAACAGGGCACACTGCTAATAAGTTTGCTGTTTAAGCTCCTTTGACACAGACAAAAGTGGTTTCTTTCCATCTCTAGCTCAGTTCCTCCACCAAGTGGAGAATAAATAAATACGGAATGATTGACAGCGATTCTAAATGAGGTGGCAAAGTATGAAATATAAACAACAGAAGGCACATCTCTCTTCTCATTCTTGAGTTACTTTCTTCTGGTGTGTGCCCTGGGATTTTAAATCTAGGGTGTTACAGGACACCACCCAGTCCTGTGTTTTCTTCTCCAGACATTAATAACTGACCAATACTCTAGGACAAAATGAGTCCCTGATGAAGTGAGTTGTTCCTTGTGGATTTCATTTTGGTTGCCACTGGTATGATAAAAGTCTGAGCATATTAGTTCTTCTTGCAGAAGCTCACATTCATGCCATTGCTTACTACTGAAGGGTTAAAATTATGTTTGTATTTGCACATGTGTGAAACCATTTCCTGCATTCCCACTTGTAAGCAACAAGGAAAAAGGCAAGGAGAGTAGAATGCGAAATACCTGAGATAGCATGTCTGCTGCCCTGAAGAAACCTTCTCTGCCCACTTATTGATAATTGCCTTTACTTCCTTTTGAAGCTGTAAACAATGACAAGATTTACACTTCTGTATTATTTGACACTTGTGTCATGGCTTTTATCATTAAGAGCCCTAAGGGGGAAATTCTCAACAGAAAAGACAGAAGAAAAATCTCTTGTATGTTAGTAAGATTTATCACTAGTATTTTATGGCCTAAGGGGTTATACTGTTGGTTCCATATAGGAAGAGATGGGAGAGAGTTGTGTGACTATAACCCCACTGCATTTGAATTTTTCATGGCTTTCCTTGATGTTTTATAAGTTTATGGAAACATTCAGGCTTCCTTGGTTTCGCGATGAATGTCCAAGGCAACTCCCTATATAGTTGGCAAATTAAAAGATACAGATTGGTAAGGAAAGCATAGAGGAAAGGGCAGCAAATGAAAATGATCTTTGCTCCTTCTGAGGTGGTATTTTTAATCTACATCAGTCATCTATTGGACTGCCACTAAGCAAATATTACACTTTGCTAGATCATCCTGTACCAGGACAGAATGATAAACGGAAAAGAAAATAGAAGTCGTCCAAGAAACGATGACTTCATTACAGGGATCACTTCAAGCACTTAAGACTCACCCATGTGTTCAGTATTGCGCTGCATTTCCAGACATTTGTACACTGAATTTTCTCAAAGCTCTTCTAAGGTGAGGAACATTACCTTCTATCCAATAAGACACTCAGACTCCTATGAGCTTATCATGTTATATATTTTTATTTAAATTAAAAACAATCTTATTTTACATACTAAAGTTCTCCCGCCCTCCCACCCTCCCATGCTCCCCATCAATCAACCCCCCATCCCATCCCCCATCCACTCCCCAGGGAGGGTGAGTCCTTCCATGGGTAATCATCAAAGTCTGTCACATCATTTGGGGCAGGGTCTAGGCCATCCCCCATGTATGTAGGAAAGAACTCTCTATCTTTTTGTTCACTGGTAAATCATGGATATACTTCAGAAGCTGAGCTACCCAGGTCTTATTGAAAATATTTTTATTTTGTTTAAATGCATACAAATTTTATTTCTCTCAAATGTAAAAAAAATGTCTTTTTCTAGTTTCAACAAACTCTCTACTTAAGTTAGCTTCATAGAGATTAATTTTAAATGAATATAATCTGGAAAGTCAGAGAACACTCTTAAAATAAAATGAGACCAGTGCACTCTAGTTGAACTGTTGTTTTTCATTTAAATGTGCTTAGTGTGCATCTTCTTGTTGATAATCTTGTCTGTGTTGACACCAGTATTTATTCATTGATAATATGCTGCCAATTATAACTATTTTCATAAGTGATAAAACAAATTTAGTTCCTGATAATTCAAAAATGTTTAACGATTATCATTAACACTTCTCAAAATGTTATCCACATGCTTTCATTTTCTAATATTTTTAGAATGTAGAAATGCATGAGGTCTTATTCATGTATTATGAGCTAGGCTAAAACTTACAAGACTAGTTCACATTGTATAATTACACAATACAAACTTGACTTCCTATGCCTTTCACTCATATTGAGTTGGGCTGTATTTATAAAAACTATTTCAAGCTGTTAAATTATCCCTTAAGTATGAATTGAGGAGTTTCTTAACTGCTACAGCCAATATATTACAAGCAATTTTAAAAAGTTTGATTGAATATGTTATTCATTTCAATGGAGTCCAATATATTTTAACAGAATTCTGATAAAGTAAACCCCACTATAGAATAAAAACATAATTAGCCTTGAGAGATTATATAGTACTAAGGGATTTATAATTTACAGTATTTACAGTTTCTATTCCTATACAAACATATTCCTTGCTTTATTATTTTATTTGGGGTTAGGAGCTTAGTTGGGAAGTTCAACTACAGAAAATAACATTTCTTTCTAAAACTGGCATTGTAAAATGTGACTAAAAAGAGAATAGTAAGGCATCTTTTCCCCCTTAAGGATGGCAAGTAGATGAAAACCGTGAAGAAAAATAAGGAGAGAATGTAGAATTGTAATGACAGAACTGGTCAGAAATTTGAATTCTTACAACAGCCACCCCACGTAGGCAGGATTTACAAGGGAGTTTCCTGTATTGTCAAGTGTCTAGCTTACCTCACATCACTGATTTAATCTTTCCATCTCCTAATTTTAATGGCTCTGCTTTCCCAAAGGCTGCTGTAATGTATCCCACAGTTTCTTAAAATAAGTGAAATTTTAAAATAGAAACGCTGTTGCTGAATTTATTGTCTTTTCCATTTTCTAATAACACCCCCATTTGTAGAGATAACAGTATTTTCTGCTCTTGCTCCAATAAAAATGCTTTTTAATATGTTCACTATTTTTGACTAAAGTCATTTTTATGTTTAGGAATATGTGTAAGGCACTTTTTCTGCTCCAGTGTAAAATTTAAGAAACTGAATTTTGTTAAATTTATTTGACAAGAGCTATATTCAAATCAAATTTGCAACAAATTTGTGTTATGAGATACTTGAAGTCGAATTTCATTTTTCTTCTGAGATCAGCCTGGAGCAATCCTTCTCCAAACATGTTTCTAAGATAAATAAAGTTACAGTAGCTCTTGCTTTCTAATATGGTTGCTCCTTCAGATATTTAGGAAAGACAGAAAAAAATCTTAAATAAATCCCAGCTGGGAACCACGTGCCAACACACCCAGTGGACTTTTTTCTTTAAAGACACAGAAAACAAGAATAAGAGTCATCTCTATTTAGTTGGAAGTGTAATCCAGAAAACATCATTATAGTCATTTCCAACTTGGAAAACAGGTGAACTGCCATTTCATATTGTCCCAATTTACTAATCAAATCGCATTTAGAAATTTTGTCAGAATTACCAAGAGTGTGCTCTAATGCAATGCCAGATGGAAGTTGCCACTGTTTTTTGGTAAAGTTAAATTTACTCCCTTTTTAAGGAATTGTCTAGTGAATCCTTGCAATCCCCTGGTGTTAGAGCGATTTTCAGATACAATGATGTTAGGGTAAACAGTGGCTATTACTTAAAAAAAAACAAAAAGATGACAAATGTTGTCATTTTTTCCTCTACACCCTATTCCTTATAACTCCACTAGTCCAAAAAGCCCCCAGTTGGTAAACAATGTCTGCATAGAGCTTCTATCTTTCCAATAATTACCTGGTCTCTGAGCAAGTGTTAAACACAACATGCTAATGTCAAGAATTTAAAGTTTAGTGAAAAAAACATAAGTAAGTAATAATTACAAGAGAACAGAGTAAGTATGTTCGGGGAGAGGGAATTTATTTGGCCTCTTCTATCTTGTCCTTTATACTGTAGGGTTGGTGAATGAGGTAATCGAAAAAGATGACATTATAGAAAGTCCTCAACAACCAGTATCCAACATATAAAACAATGTCATTGAATTTATTGTGATTATGCATCACTGTGATCTCAACATCTGAGAATCCAGGGCGGGAGAACTGAGCCTTTGAGGCTAGCCTGGACTAGCCTCATGTATGATGACACCTTGTCTCAGAAAACGTCTAAGAATATAAAACGCAACAGAACATTGCCATACAGAATGAAGAATTTTAGGCTTGCTACTTAAAATTCTCATCATAATTAACAAGTGTCACTGTGACCGTTTTACATTTCAAGAAACCAGGGCTCAGCAAACACATTGCTCTCCTCACTAGATTTATGTATCTAAAATGTGTGAGCTAGCATCAAGATGCACACATTCTATAGAAAACCAGTATGGTGACAAGCCACTGCTACTACTCAAAATTGAACAAAGCTGTACACATTGGCATGATATGCAGAGTTGTAATGAGTTAATATAAACTAATTCATAAACATAAGTCTACAATCTTGAGGTCAGCAAATATACAACATTTGAATCTGTGAACATGCA